CACCTGTTCCTCCTATATGACACCTGTTCCTCCCAATATGACACCAGCCCCTCCCTATATGACACCTGTTCCTCCCAATATGACGTCTGTTCCTCCCAATATGACACCTGTTCCTCACTATATGACACCAGCCCCTCCCTATATGACACCACATAACCAATCTCTCGGCCCTCTACACGACACACCAAATCCTCGTGTAGCTCCAACAGGCGACACTGCCCACTCTCTTCCCCATCACGTGTGGGTCGCCCAGGCTCACCCCCCACGGCCCATCACCAACGGGCTGGATGAAGACTTGAGCTTTATGTCTCCCGGGACGGAGGTGAGGACGCCGGGAGCTTGGGTGACGCCTCCTGCTGGTGATATACAGACGAAGCGGCCAGTACCTGATATAGCGCCAGGTGAATATCGACCATTACTCCAGGTGTCACAAGATCAGCACCTGTCATCATCCCAGGTGTCACAAGATCAACACCTGTCATCATCCCAGGTGTCACAAGATCAGCACCTGTCATCATCCCAGGTGTCACCGATCAACACCTGTCATCATCCCAGGTGTCACAAGATCAACACCTGTCATCATCCCAGGTGTCAGAAGATCAACACCTGTCATCATCCCAGGTGTCACAGATCAGCACCTGTCATCATCCAGGTGTCACAAGATCAGCACCTGTCATCATCCCAGGTGTCACAAGATCAACACCTGTCATCATCCCAGGTGTCACAAGATCAACACCTGTCATCATCCCAGGTGTCACAAGATCAACACCTGTCATCATCCCAGGTGTCACAAGATCAGTACCTGTCATCATCCCAGGTGTCACAAGGGCAACACCTGCCAGCGACTAACAGATCACAAGACCAACAGGTACAAGCGGCGGCGTGGGACAGCTACCTCGTGAAGCAGGACCTGACGACACAGTCACTGCCTCAGGTTAACGGGTCAACTTCCCTCAAAAGACCGTTCCTCCGGCCACCTCCCCATTTACGTGGCAGACCGTCGACGTCAGTTATTCCTTCAGGTGAGTCTCCTTGGCTGGATCCTGACGGCGAGAGACTCATCTGGCCCCCTGACGGTCCTCACTCCCCGGGGCTGGAGGGAACAGTGACTCCTGACGTAGATCTCAGAGATGTGTCGGCCGAGATACACCTTCAGGAGTCCAGTAACAGTTGGTTTGGAGGTGGTGCTCCTCTGCCGCTATGGACGAGGGTACCAGCCCCCCACCACCACCCACCTCGATTATCTTATAGCCCACTATCACCCCACCGCCCACCACTATCACCCCACCGCCCACCACTCTCACCCCACCTCCCACCAGCATCATCATCACCTCACAACCCACCATTGACACCTCACAGCCCACCATCACCACCCCACAACCCACAAAAACCACCCCACCTACCACCATCACCACCCCACAACCCACAAAAACCACCCCACCTACCACCATCACCACCCCACAACCCACAACAACCACCAATCCTCCCACCACCATTACCTCTACACCTTCCACCACTACCACCCCGTCGTCAACCACCACACCTCCCACCAACACCACCACCACCACCCAACCCCTCACAACTATTACCCCACCGTCAACCACCACCACCACCCCCACCCCCCCACCGCCCACCAACCTACCACCCAAGCAAGTCTCAATTCCTGATCAACCAACTCATCAGAACTCAACCAATCTTTCCCCTCACCACCCCCCACCACAACAACCCCCTACTACTACCACCCACCCTCTTCACCCCCCCACAACCATCTACACACCCTACCTTTCTTCATACGACCCTCGCACCTCAGGAACGACAACCACGACCTCTACGACTTCTCCACCACCTCACCTCTCCATCATCGACCCCAGGAATCACAACACCTCCAGTACTCACACAGGTAAGACGCGTCACCTGTATTTTTTATCTTTAGATCAAATTATAACTAAACTATTTACCTGTTCCGTTTCCACACTGCATGATGAGACTACAAACACACACACAAACACACACACACACACACACACACACACACACACACACACACACACACACACACACACACACACACACTTAAACAACATGGTGTCAACTTTGTTCCCTAGACACTACACCTTAACTAAAGTTTCAATTAGTACAGTGTGTGTGTGTGTGTGTGTGTTTCTGTGATGTGTACAGTATATGATTATATGCCTCAACACGCCAGGGTGCATAGGGCTTGAATGTTAATGTACCTTGTAATGGAAAAGAGAAAAAAATCACATCTCCATCTCTGACTATGTTCTGTGTGATGGGTGACAGGTGAGGAGGCGGTGAAGGAGGCGTAGACGGAGGGGCGAAGGAGGAGGAGACGGCCGACAGGTGCAACCAACGGCGCTCTTCACCCCCCACCACCACCACCAGCAGGAGCAACACCTCCAGGGGCCTCTAACCCGGGAGGAGTACATCACCATCCAGGGAGCTCTAACACAAGCCCTCCTCCTACAGCGCCAGCAGGAGCGACTGACAGCGGCCGCTTCTGTGGTGAGTTATCTTTCTATCTGTCTCTCTCTGTGTTTGTCTGTCTATCTGTCTCTGTGTTTGTCTGTCTGTCTATCTGTCTCTGTGTTTGTCTGTCTATCTGTCTCTGTGTTTGTCTGTCTATCTGTCTCTGTGTTTGTCTGTCTATATCTGTCTCTGTTTGTCTGTCCTATCTGTCTCTGTGTTTGTCTGTCTATCTGTCTCTGTGTTTGTCTGTGTATCTGTCTCTCTCTGTGTTTGTCTGTCTATCTGTCTCTGTGTTTGTCTGTCTATCTGTCTCTGTGTTTGTGTCTGTCTGTCTGTCTCTCTCTGTGTTTGTCTGTCTGTCTCTCTCTGTGTTTGTACAATACATCTGTCTCTGTGTTTGTCTGTCTATCACCAGCTGTCTCTTGTGTTTTGTCTGTCTGTCTGTCTCTCTCTGTGTTTGTCATCTGTCTCTCTCTGTGTGTTTGTCTGTCTATCTGTCTCTGTGTTTGTCCTGTCTATCCTGTCTCTGTGTTTGTCTGTCTGTCTCCTCTCCTGTGTTTGTCTGTCTGTCTGTCTCTCTCTGTGTCCTGTCTGTCTCTCTCTGTGTTGTCTGTCTATCTCTCTCTGTGGTTGTCTGTCTATCTCTCTCTGTGTGTTTGTCTGTCTGTCTCTCTGTGTTTGTCTGTCTGTCTCTCTCTGTGTTTGTCTGTCTATCTGTCTCTGTGTTTGTCTGTCTATCTGTCTCTGTGTTTGTCTGTCTATCTGTCTCTGTGTTTGTCTGTCTATCTGTCTGTGTTTGTCTGTCTATCTCTCTCTGTATGTTTGTCTGTCTATCTCTCTGTGTTTGTCATCTGTCTCTCTCTGTGTTTGCTGTCTATCTCTCTCTGTGTTTTTGTCTGTCTATCTCTCTCTGTGTTTGTCATCTGTACTCTCTCTGTGTTTGTCTGTCTATCTGTCTCTGTGTCTGTCTGTCTATCTCTCTCTCTGTGTTTGTATGCATACTCTCTCTGTGTTTGTCTGTCTATCTCTCTCTCTCTGTGTTTGTCTGTCTGTCTCTCTCTGTGTTTGTCTGTCTATCTGTCTCATGTTTGTCTGTCTATCTCTCTCTGTGTTTGTCTGTCTATCTCTCTCTGTGTTTGTCTGTCTATCTCTCTCTGTGTTTGTCTGTCTATCTGTCTCTGTGTTTGTCTGTCTATCTGTCTCTGTGTTTGTCTGTCTGTCTGTCTCTCTGTGTTTGTCTGTCTATATCTCTCTGTGTTTGTCTGTCTATCTGTCTCTGTGTTTGTCCTGTCCTATCTGTCTCTGTGTTTGTCTGTCTATCTGTCTCTGTGTTTGTCTGTCCTATCTGTCTCTGTGTTTGTCTGTCTATCTATCTGTCTCTGTGTTTGTCTGTCTATCTGTCTCTGTGTGTTTGTCTGTCTATCTGTCTCTGTGTTTGTCATCTGTCTATCTCTCTCTGTGTTTGTCTGTCTGTCTCTCTCTGTTTGTCTGTCTATCTGTCTCTGTGTTTGTCTGTCTATCTGTCTCTCTCTGTGTTTGTCTGTCTATCTGTCTCTGTGTTTGTCTGTCTATCTATCTCTGTGTTTGTCTGTCTGTCTATCTCTCTCTGTGTTTGTCTGTGTCTATCTGTCTCTGTGTTTGTCTGTCTATCTGTCTCTGTGTTTGTCTGTCTATCTCTCTCTCTGTGTTTGTCTGTCATCTGTCTCTGTGTTTGTCTGTCTATCTGTCTCTGTGTTTGTCTGTCTGTCTGTCTCTCTCTCTGTGTTTGTCTGTCTGTCTCTCTCTGTGTTTGTCTGTCTATCTGTCTCTGTGTTTGTCTGTCTATCTGTCTCTGTGTTTGTCTGTCTATCTGTCTCTGTGTTTGTCTGTCTATCTCTCTCTGTGTTTTGTCTGTCTATCTGTCTCTGTGTTTGTCTGTCTATCTGTCTCTGTGTTTGTCTGTCCTCTGTCTCTCTCTGTGTTTGTCTGTCTATCTCTCTCTCTGTGTTTGTCTGTCTATCTGTCTGTGTTTGTGTCTATCTGTCTGTGTTTGTCTGTCTATCTCTCTCTGTGTTTGTCTGTCTGTCTCTCTGTGTTTGTCTGTCCGGTCTCTCTCTGTGTTTGTCTGTCTGTCTCTCTCTGTGTCTGTCTGTCTATCTGTCTCTGTGTTTGTCTGTCATCTGTCTCTGTGTTTGTCTGTCTATCTCTCTGTGTTTGTCTCTGTCTGTCTCTCTGTGTCTGTCTGTCTATCTGTCTCTGTGTTTGTCTGTCTATCTCTCTCTGTGTTTTGTCATCTATCTCTCTCTGCAATGTTTTGTCTGTCTGTCTCTCTCTGTGTTTGTCTGTCCTATCCTCTCTCTCTGTGTGTTTGTCTGTCTGTCTCTCTCTGTGTTTGTCTGTTTATCTCTCTCTGTGTTTGTCTGTCTGTCTATCTCTCTCTGTGTTGTTTGTCTGTCTATCTGTCTCTGTGTTTGTCTGTCTATCTGTCTCTGTGTTTGTCTGTCTGTCTGTCTGTGTTTGTCTGTCTATCTCTC